GTACGTCAGACTCAACGTGTTTCAATTAAGTGAGATCGACCGGCCAGTTCCTAGGGCCCCTTGCTCGATGATTGCTAAGGAAATAGCTCAGATATGTGAGAGGGGAGAAGAAATCGCGGTCTTCAGTAATACTAGGCAACCGCTAGCGGCGCGGGTTTCGAAGATCAGATTGATGGGGAAGATCTAGTGCTACGTATGACTAACATTACATTGAGGTGGCATCCTTCTTAGCGTCTGGCATTTGTCCAGCAGAAGGCGAATATGTTTTGAATCATCAAAGATGAAAAGCGCTGGTGTAAACTGTCTCTAACGCCAAGATCCTAGTCGAAGACAAGTCCCATATGTTCTAGATAGGAATATTATTAGCAGTGCCGAATAAAATTCATATTGACAATACTTTGACCACCGACATTGGCATACGGGTGACGTTGAAGATTTTGTCTAACTGCCTCTGAACTCTCGGCTCGACAGGCTATGAGAGTTCCCTGTGCATTGAAGCTGGAATGGCCACCCCTAGATAGCAATTTTGGATCGCCAAGTATGTCGCCAATAAGGGTCTGCTGGGGACAAATGCGACCATAGGACGGTAAACCAGCGCGGGACGTATTGGGTCGGTCTTTGATAATGACAACGCTATTCAGGGAATCGCGTCTTAATCACGAAGATCCGATAAAAGTATCCTGAGTGAGACTTACTATTCTTGAAGAAGTGGGCGGGTGGTCGAAAAGAGTGGACCTGCCGTCAGAGCTACCTGTTTGGCCGCCATTTTATCTGCTGAATATGTCTGACAGTATTGGGAGAAGATAGAAGTCAAAGGGGAAAAGTAATCTTCGCAGAGCAGTGTTATCAATGGGTACGGTCCTGTTGATGTCATTAGTAACGTTGAGGGATCAGCCTCAGCCCATAGGAAGTTACGCAACATATGTACATTCCAACCAAAAATCACCAGGGGTGCGTTGGCAGCAATGTAGGCTGAGACTGCGTCTCAACCGCTTTGGCTGGACCATGTCTTCGCATCTGCATTTCAGCTACTCAGAAGTTCGAGGACTCCTTGCATCCAGAAATTCTCTCGCTCTTGCCCCTCTTGCCCACTAAGGAAAGTCAGCTGAACTCCCTAGGTACCTATGTTATTATAGGGGTTCTGGTGATATTACCAAATGCACGCGCTGTCCGTCCCTACAGATTTACTTATATACCGTCTTCCTGTTCACCACAACCTTGATTTCAGTTTCCCAATATCATAATTTTCAAAGCCTGCTTGCGCACCGTCGAAAAGTGGTCCCACTTCAAATATCCTTTCGCGATGTTGTTGACGCAAGCTTTTCGCTCTGCCACTACCCGACGGCTTCTCCATGCGGCTCATGGGTCTACAGTTAAACATGAAATGCTGGTGATACTCCCAGACATGCCTGACGCCGTTAGTCACACACCACTGTTACTCCCCCGAATTGAATCTAATACAATCATGGAACCTTAGCTTGCCCGTCGCATCGAGCTTCGGCCGCGACATTGGCTTAATTTTACCCAACTTCATAAGGAGGGCTACGTGTCTTGGGCCGGTTGGTCACCTTTTCTTATCGCTCTCTTGACATTATCTCAATTGACATTTGTTTACTACTTAGGCCCGATGCTTGCAACACCCTGCGTCAAAGGAGATAAGAAGGACCGTGCATTCATCGGAAGCGTCATCATTGTGAATGATACCTGCCCCGAGAGCATCAGAGAGCGGTTAAAAGGTGACGTATACTCACAAGAAAAAATCTGGGACTGGGATAACGCAGAAATTCTGCCATTTCGTACACTGGAGCGGACTCCAAGCCAACATTAGGAGTAATTAACGAGAATCGAAGGAAACAGCTGTCATTTTAAACAGGTCTGCTCTGTAGTCGTACATGAGTCCAGTGTCCATGTTCTAGAAACCTTTGTACATTTACAGTGAAATCTCTTCTAAGTTTTCAAACTCGGAAATATCTTACATTACAGTACCGTTGACGACGACCATGTCTTCCCACTGTCGACTTCGCAGCCTAAGATGGGCACGAAAGGGTGGTTCGCTTCTCAAAGAATAGATAAGCAATGCGGTTCGCTTACGCCTGTAGAATTCGGAAGACTTGCAACTGGCATGCAAACCGAGAAGCATGGCCAAATATCCGCGAATTGGCCAGCTGTCAATCCTCTAGTACATATATGTAGCACTGTTCAGTGGACTGCATCATCAGATCATCGTCGCTCGCTTGCTATATTGCCTTTCCCAACAACTCGCTTTAATCATGTTAGTATCTACGGAAAGGGTTTGATTGGAGAATTTTTTTTGTGAATTGCAGCGCCGCAAACCATTACAGTACTGGTAAAGCCATCGAGACGTGTCAGTTCGATGTTGATGGTGACAGTCGCAAGGAGATGATCAATGTTGGCAATTCCTTGGCAACAGAAACATGGTTCAATTAATTGGTACACCGTAAGCCCCATTGTGTATTCCCTTCGGTATTGGTTCTGCTGTAATTCTCAAAGAAAAGGCCTTGTCTTAGGAAAAGGAATGGTAAAGGGACCACCATTTCAGTATTGCAGACCGTTGACATTTTTGACCAGGTCCTCCTTGCGTGAACCTACCTCTATTTAATTGCACAGATGATACCAGTGTCGGCAGGGCACATAATGTTGAGCTTTGGGGTGCCGGGTGGTTTGCATGCTTGATTACCACACTTTACCACACCGAATAATGAAATGAAGTGCTTCCCTGATTGCAGGTTTGCGACAGATTGTAAGATACCGACTGAATCGTTACTGGGGTTGTCAACGTCTAAATGTAACTAAGAGATCAAGATGCATTCGTACCTGTTGCCCGGGGACATTCGCCCCCTTGCAGGTTGGACTCGAATTCCAGTTGGAGCTCTGATTTGTAAACGCAATACCTTCAGCATTGGTTTCATTCATCCTTGCTCTATCGGCAATGTGTGAGATGTAGGGTGGACGACCGAAATTAATCATAGGTAGAGCCGAAAAAATTGGAGTCGCAATGTATATGAACACCAAAACACCCAATAGACAACAGCGGCCAAATTTCAAGAAATACGTTCAATTGTAGATTATCCAGGGAATCAACAAACGTAGACTTAGCAGGGAAAATAGCAACAAAAAAGTTGTGGCCACGGCGAAAAATCCGCGGTTCCGTGGTTGATTACGTTAACTGAGTTAACTAGCGACCAGGACTAGTCATCTAATCTCAAGCAAGAAATCTGTTGTTTAACTTTACAATTCAAGTCTTGTTCTTCAGCTTATTATATCTACATATGAATATATGTTGTCGACTAATCGGTAAATCAAATTTCTAGTACGTACTCTCCGTGCCAAGCTCGCCAACTCACAAGGTCTCAAAACAAATGAGGGAGCAGTGTACCAAGTAGAAGTTAGCGTCATACGAAAGAAATAAATACCGAGCTGATCTTGTCGCTTTTAGCTCTGCTGGTGGCCAAGAGCTGAGCGGAGAAGCTGGGTATACTCCCCATTTAACAGCGATCACAATGGGTTAAGCGAGGGGTTTTGACCTTCATTGGTGGAAAATAATAGGGGGGCTGCAGGAGGTAGCAAATGAATATGAAGAAGATACCATTCTGTTATTTTAGCAATAGGACAAAAAAATAGGGGCCTGTAGGCGCTTTGAAAGGATCCACATACCCTGCTTGATCATGGTGCCAAGATTCTTTGGCGGGCATGCAGCCACATCCCTTGCATCACATGGACAGTTCGTAGCGATAAGTACAACCACGCAATGCTTCAGTGTTTGAGTCCACCATATATAGCTCATCTCCTTCCAACAGTCTTATTGAGGGCTATCTCTGTTACAGCAATGATAAACCCAAAAATGCTTTCGCAAGAGCCATCGTGGTCTAACATTACCTACGCGCTAGCGGTTTATCTAGCGTTTACTCTGCCGTCTGCGCTTTTTATTATAATCCTTCGGAAATCATCGCTTGTTCGATGGGCCTGGGCACCATGTGTTCTTTACATTCTCTATCATTTCTACCTTCTAGTGCCGTCTCTGACTACCAGTCAATACCTCAGAGGCATGGCAATGGGTCAAGCAACTGTTACTGCCCTGCAATGTCTCAATTTACTCCTGATCACAAAATTAGACGATACGGGCCTGATAGGGGTAAAATTATATCGAGAGTCTGCAGGACTACATTCTCGCCTTTTTCGTACCTGGGCGTTGTTTCTCAACTTTCGAGGGATTGGCACGGCATGGGAGGCCAAGAATGTACCCTACCATGCAGCTTATCTCCAACAGAACAGTACGGGGCAAACTCTCAGCCGGAAGCGGTATATCCTACGCGAAATTGCTATTATCATATGGCAGTACCTGCTGATTGACTTGATCGACATGGTGACGAGAAATACTACACATGAGGACAGGACTCGTCTCTTTGGCCCTGGCTTAGAGTACAAATATTTTGACGCAACATTTGAACAGTGGGTGGGGCGCATCTCTGTGGGGATCGTTTCCTGGCTTGTCCCTACCCGTGTCTGTCTAGACATCATTTCCCGGGCTTATTTTTTAATTTTGGTGATCTTCGGCATTGTTTCTCCAGAGTCGTGTCGCCCGGCCTTTGGTAGAATGTCGGATGCGTATACCGTCCGTGGCTTCTGGGGGTAAGTAGGCTCACACGCTTTACAAGGCTCAGACAGCTTTCTCATTTTCATCCATTAACGTTACTATAGCAAGTTCTGGCATCAATCTTTGCGGTGGCCCTTTACCTCAGTGAGCAACTATATCACGAGAGATGTCCTCCGGCTTCCCCGTCCCTCTATATTGGAACGCTACGCCAATATCTCTTTCACTTTCTTCATGTCTGGTGTATTACACTTGGTCTGTAATGCTATCCTGGGAATTCCACCATCAGAATCTGGCGCTGTTAAGTTCTTCTGCTGTTTTCCCCTTGCTATCATAATCGAGGATGGAATCGAGGAATTCTGGCACCGAGTGGCAGGACAGGATAAGGTCAATATTCAACCAGTCCAGCCAGTCCCCTTCTGGCAGAGGTTGATAGGCTTCATTTGGGTAGGTGTCTGGATGTGTGTGACGTCTCCCTGGTACCTATACCCAGCTGCTCGTCAACAGCCGGACAAGGACTGGTTAGTGCCATTTAGTTTTATTAAGGCGATTGGCCTAGTCGCTGTGCAGGCAACCCTTGTGCTTTACGGTATATTCCTATACTTTGCGGTCGGTGGGGAGATTTAGAAGATTTGAGTTTTCGAACAAGTGTTTATTTGGGGGGAGTCACGAACCATTGACACGTGGTATATATGTAGGATGGATACTTCCCCCAGCTCTGGCCTAGAGCAAACAATCCAGCTTGCTGCAGGGGTGGCTTTGGGCCGTCTAGACCAAGACTGGGTTGCCTTGCACAAGAGTATAAGCAAAAGAAGGGTTCTTCTCAGGGTCTTACAGTACATGACCTCGCAATTAGATACTCCAGATTACAATATCAACGAAAATTTGGACCGATCCACATTTAGTTCACAAATGGGACTGTAATAGTGAGGATCAATCAGCTGGACGGTGGTGGTCGCAGCTAATGAATGCCCTATGCCGCAACCACAGCTTGCCGGCATCGTCCATGATTTTAGACATCCCGAAACTCTAACAACATCTGCTCAAGCTCGCTCAAATCCCACACGTGCTCAGTCGACGATCAGAGTAGATAGCCAGGATTTCACTTTTCTTCATTGATCGTGTCTGGATGCATGTATGGTGTAAATAATGGACACGATCGGAGCCAGTGCCGGCAGACCCTAAATAATGCTACCAACACATGACTTGAAGCTGACAGCATTGCCACAAGATTATCCTTGGTTTCCGTTACAGGACCCTCCAAGACAAACCATGAAGAACCCCAAACCCAAGGATGTGGTCCAAAAGTTCGACTCGAAACTGAGACACTTGGGACTCGGAGAATTCGCTATCGGTGCAACCAGAGAATGACCATTTACTTTTGCTTCTGGCGCCATTTCGGGTTTGTTTTCAACATAAATCAGGGTGGTTCTTACGATCTACTCCACCTAACCAACCGTATGACTTGCCCCATACTTGTGTTCCCAGGAATGGACGGATTAAATAATATGCCACGCCAAAATCAGCGCGCACCATTTCGGTCCGCGAATCCGGGAAGATGTTAGGATCGTTACTGTTCCATTATTGTTGCATGTAATGAAAATTTACCGTGAAGGATATGTCCGTACCTAGCTGGCCAAGATGCCATGCCTTAACTCACCATAAGTCTGGTGGTGATAGCGCTACAGTGCATCAAGTCTATTTTAGTTCAAAAGCCTGGGCGTTTTGCGCCCCTAGACAAGGTAGTGAAACGTAGTGTAGGGCCTATCCATACCACGCACACTACTTTGCCAGTGCACGGATTGGAGTGAGTTGCGTAAATGCTGCACCTCAAAGAGAAATAATATCTGAAACAGACTGTTGAAAGGTTGGCATATAAGTAAGATTCAGGGATCAGAACCTGCCTTTTTGTAAGACAGGGGCATTTTTGAGACCCCATTTCCAACATGGTGTTACTCAGTAGTCAAGCATATTATTATTGAATGATGGCGATGACCCTCGTTAAGAACCAAAAAAGCATTAGGTAATATTTTAGCAAAATAACTTCCTTCAAGCGACCCAAACACCGAGTATCTGAAATTATAGGTCATTTGATGCTAGCTTAAGTGTAGTGGTAGGATATATACAAGGAGGCCCTGGGAAACCAGAACAGAGGCTTTTTCAAGATCCATACCTAGTAGAACCTTCATATTTGGCAATTTCCACGTACCTAGCTCACAAGGCACACGATAGCCATTTGGGTATCTTACCCAGCGTATACCATTATACCGGTAGTCATTTTTTCTTTGCACAAGCAAGGCTCGTTCCACAACATAGCATCATGGATATCAATTTCTCCCATGAGAATGCGAAACCTTACCCTTAAGCATAAACAAGGGATAACATGGACAGTGCATAGAATAAATCAGGATAAGCGGTGAGAATCCTTGGTGATACATACATAAATTTGATTGGTCCCAATTTTTGCATCACGCCTAAGCTGATACGTAAGGCAGGTATGTATGCCGCATATTTCTACCTAGCGATCCCGATATGTAACCCTGCGATAACCCTGTCCCCTCAGTTTCAAGCTACCTAGTAGTGGATTCCCAGGAAAGCCTAGTATTTAGGTCATCTTTGGGACGTCAAACGTTGTTTAGATGACGCTGAACCACCGCCATCATCTGCAAAGTCTTCCATTACACTATTGTTCACTTACCATACGCCGTGTTGACCGACAAACTAAGAACAAATTCCACCAAGTCCATCCTTTCGATCTCAAGTCAACTCCACCTCCCGAGATCAGCCACCATGTTCTCTGGATTGATGGGAATCGTGCTAGGGTCGGATCTGTTTTATCTTCCGCTCGTTTTGGCGTTGGTAATATGTCTGTACCTTTTGGGCCGTAGTCCACGTCTATATCCGGGCCTTCCCGTTGTGAACGTTGATCCACGGGTGAGCTTTTTCCGGAGATACGACAAGGCTCGAGCGCACTGGTCCTCACACGGGAAGGAAATAGTGGATCTAGGACTTCAAAAGGCATGTATCATGTTCTGTTCAATTAAAACCAACAAGCCAAGTATTTAACTGACAAATATCTTAGTTTGCAGGATGTTTCCAGGTCTTCACAGAGTCTGGACCTAAAATAGTCCTACCTGGCCGATTCGCGGATGAGATACGAAACCATCCTGCTTTAAATTTTAGAGAAGGTATAGCCAAGGTACAACGGCAAAAGTCTCTCTTTTTGGATTTTCTGGATTGGTCTGACGACTATCAGGAATTTTTCGGATCTTATCCGGGCTTCAACCCTTTCGCCGCTGACAATACCGCACGAATCGTCACGGAGACTACCAGGGGCAAACTGACGCAGTCACTCAGTAGGATTTTCTCACCTTAGCCAAGCTCAACTAGTACTGACGCGTCGTTCCGTATAAGACTTGATCACCGAGGAGTTGGTGGACGAGACTTCCTCGGCCGTCGAGGAGCTTTTCGGCGTACCAGAAGGTACGTTGTCTGTATTTGTCTACAGTTGACAAAACAACATTCCTAAGATTGAGTTTCAGCAACTAAGACAATATTCTAAAACAGCATGGACAGAAATCACTTACAAGCCAAAGATTGTACAGCTGGTTGCCCGTGTCTCTTCAAGAGTATTTCTCGGCCAGGAACTAAGTGCTAATGAGGACTGGATACGCCTCAGCACAGATTACGCCGTTGATGCTATGGTAGCTGCGAGGAAACTGCGGGAGTGGCACTTCTGTCTACGTCCCATTGTCCACTGGTTCCTGCCTGAATGCCGCAAAATCCGCAAGAGAATGGTCGAGGCGCGGAAAATCATCATGCCCGTAGTTGAAAGGCGGCGAAAAATTAACCACCAAGCCCGGGAAGCCGGTCAGCCCATTTCCAAAGTTGCAGACACGGTCGGTTGGATGGACGCAGTGGCCAACGGTCGAAAATATGACATTGTGACGGCCCAATTAGGTCTTGCTTTTGCATCGATATTCACGACAGCGGACATGATAAGCGGACTAATCGGTGATCTCTGCGCAAACCCAGAATACTTCAAGCCTCTGCTTGAAGAAATTAGCTCGGTCTTAGGAGACAAGGGATGGTCGAAGAGGGCGCTCCAAGAGTTGAAGCTGATGGATAGCGCGATGAAGGAGTCACAGCGTCACCACGTTGGAGATATCGGTGAGCGCGCCCCTTTTTTTGGTTTTATGGAGATGACTAACCGACCAACGTGAAGCGACTATGCGACGCTTGACCAAAGAACCAGTCACGCTCTCGGATGGAACCTTTATCCCAAAAGGTGCCTTCACTATGGTCGGCCTAGACATGCTGTACGATTCGAAAATATTCAACGCACCACACCAGTTCAAGGGCAGCCGGTTCCTAGAAATGCGTCAGCAGTCTGGACAGGACACTCGCTGGCGGTTTGTCACGACTTCTCCAGAACACCTTGCCTTTGGGCATGGCAACCATGCGTGTCCTGGAAGGTTCTTCGCTGCGAGCGAGATAAAGGTTATCTTAGTTTATTTGTTGATGAACTATGATTGGAAGTTAACGAGCGAGGGTCGGCCGAACGATTTAGCTTTTGGACAAGAGACGGAAACAAACCCAACAGCTAAAGCTATGATCAAGAAGAGGAAACAGGATATCGCGCTGCCCGACAAAGGGACCCGGGAACCTCAGAAGATGTAGTTTACCAGTATGATATAGGGAAATGCGAGATCACACAGCGCCATTCTATGGCTGTCTCTGATATAAAATATGAAAATTATGCGACATTTATTACTGTTGTCTCTCAAGTACCAGAAATTTTTTGCGCTGTTGCGCATTTATAAGAGCGGTTGCCGATGGCTTAACTATTGCTAATGACCTAATGCTTTCAGCTACAATCATTGGTAACTGAGATATCGGGCCTGTCTACCATTTGTTTGTCCCAGGAAACGACCAAGAAGATTAGCCATGGAGGCGGCGCGATCACATTAAAACGTTCTGCGTACAAATATCCAATAGAGCTGCAGAACAATGTATCTTATTAACCATTGAAGGATCGGCATTAGGCAAAAGTCAGTGTTCCATAACAGACTTATCACTATCATGAACCCCAGCAGATCTGTTTAAACGATGAATCGGAATGGTTATCTGCTGCAACCAGCGGCCAGCTTCACACTCTTGGGAATTTTGGGTAAAGTCCTGCCGGAATCTTTCGTGAGATGTCCTCGGCAATTTCACGTATCGATGCTCCACCTAAGATTTGCAGCATAGGTACATTGACGTCGAGTTCTTTCCTGAACCACATGAGGAGGGCCACGGCAACAAGTGAGTCAGCACCCAAATCGGCGAGGCTCATCTCTGGCGTCACCATGTCCCTGTTCGATAAATGAAGGCGATCGCTGATCTTCGCGCTGAAGCCGCGCAACACGATCTGCACAATATCATCCATGCAAGTGGCCAAAGACAGCTGCTCTCGAGTCTGGATGTTCGGACTTGGTGTGGGCGCACGGTTGAACTGCGCGTGATAGTCGATTAGGTGCCATAACGATGGACTTCGATACCAGGGGAGGTTGGGGTGGTCGGTTGGGTTATGCTTATTCAGTCCCGCAATGACCTCCGGATCCTGACCAAAAGTCGGACGCCCAGCCAAGATGGCCTCCGCGAATATTTCATGTATATCGCGCTCAGATAACACGTGAGAGCCGAGTTCCTTCTTGCTCAACTCCAATGGTTCGCTTGGGACCAGAGAATCGTGTCCAAGCCCTACTACTCGGATGATGCTGCCGACAAGATTGTGTTTGCGGCGGCTTTGGATGAGATTGGCCATGAAGAGTGTAGCCGCGTCATGAAGTGAGTGACGAATGCTATCAAGAATGAACAAGGCGGATCCGAACAGAATGAAAAAGTCCAGGTCGTCGTTCCCGTATAATTCCTCCAGTAGCAGACTTCCCGGCACGTGGGGTTGTAGCTCGCACTCAGCCAGCTTTAAGTCGGTAGGAGTTGGCACCTTGTCCTGGAAAGCTGTCTCTCCGTTCACCACTCCACCAACAGGAGGAAAGTTTTGCCGGATAAATTGGTCAACTGCGAGAGCTGACTCACTGCTCGTGACATCGCTGTATGTGGAAGCAATCGTTAGTGTCCCTATGAAGACGAACCAGGAATTGAGGTATATGAAGATAGACCAACTCACATCGTCATAAGTGCGACTCTAGCTCCCTGTGCTGTCATCTGATCAATCCACTGCGAGTCCGAGTCCGTTTTGGGGTCTCGACTACTTAGGACCATATGACGAGCTCCCATAGAAAACATGCAACGACACACAGAACGTCCGACTTCACTCGTCATGCCCACGAGGAGATATGTCTTTGTCGGAGAAAGTGCTACTTGGTAGCTAGCTGGCAGTTGACGGACACGTAATTCCCCGGTACGCTTCCAGTGGACAATCTTTAACGCGTGCTCAAATTGGTTGTCCAAAGCTGGTACCTCCTTGATATCAACTATTGTGGGGCGATGGTTGGAATGAGAAATCCGGATTGCCATGGCACATGCCGTGTGAAGTAAACGAGCCGAATCGTCAAGATTGACTGGGCTGTGGAGTTCTGGGGATCGACGGAAAAGTGTAGAGAATTGCTCCACTCGCGCAGAAGATGGCAGACACGATACCATTTTCGAAAAGGCCCCAGTGTAGGATGAGTCGAGGTTGACAGCCAAAGATGTATTACATGGCACGAGCTGAGAAATCACCCGAGTCGCGCTCATCGCATGCACGAAGCTTACAGGCGGGAATGAACCTGCACTTTCGCTCTCCTTGCTTGTGCTGAAGCAGATATGGATCCCTCTGGCAGTCCCTTGGATCCAGGTCATGTGACGGAGTATATCATCAGCCTCATGGATAAGGAGTGAAGATTTGGGGAAAGTCCGTTGAGTCAGGTGGTCGGCTAACAGCGCGGATGCAGTGCGGTAGAGGAACCCAGCCTCGTCGCTACTTGATATGGTCCCTGGTGTTTCGCAACACCAGTCCTTGGGAACCGTTATGATGGATGAATGTTTGTCAGTCATGGTGATGAAGGAAGCGCCGGTTTGAACATCTCGCCCCAAGGCGAGAGTCAGGAATCCAACCGGTGGTATATGCACCGCATGAGATGTCGAGTAATGCACCTGGAGCTGGATACACGGACGCTGACAGCTTCTCTGAGGAGCTTGTACAACCAACTCGTAACTAGGTCCAGCCCGGGTAGTGAGCTTAACAGCAGACTGTTGTGGGTCAACCTTATCATACACTGCTCTCCTCATTGCCGCACGCCTCATATTTCGGGAAGAACTTTCTACCAGACGGGGAATCATCAGTATATTGCCATCCAACCGGAGCTCCAGTTCAGTGCTATGGACACGAGATCTCATGCGATAGTCATTGTAAAACGTGGTGTGGACTAGTCGCATCATACTAGTGGCCAAAAGTTCTGCATGTACCAGGTCTGGGTCGACAATATTAAGGCACTGAGGTATAGTGTGTGGTTGCTCATGATTCAGGGACCTGACAAAGCGCCGGCTCATACCAATATAAGGATTGCTGGCCTCAGAGCCTACAGTGATCCAGAGCAGGCATCGCGCAGTTTGGAAAATGGCCTTCAGTACTCGCAAAGTGTCTTTGGTCACGGCTTGAAAACATGGCTGGTCCATATCAACAGCGATTAGGACAGCTTCTTGCCGTGCGGGTGGGTGGGCACCCATAGCGTCAAGCGTGGGAAAGTGAGTGATCTGATCAAAGTACGGTTCAAGGAGCGTCCGCGAGTCGGCCAACACCCGCCGTGTATTCTCAAGCACACCACCCACCAGTACGAGACTCCCCTTTGCCGGTGATGTCGCGTGTGTAGTTAGAGGCTGGCGCAGCAGCTGCATCCTCTCATCTATTGCCTGTGCCACAAAAACAGAGTACGCGGCAAGTGGACTGTTGTGGGTCGACAGAGAATTGTCAATGCCGCCGAAGCCAGTGCGTTGTAGAAGCGTGTCCCATTCTGCAGTCCCGAGCATGGGACCCCAGGGCCTTCCATACTCGGCCCCGAGCCACCAGCCCTCGAAACCGCTCATCAGAGTCGAGATCCGGATGATGTCCACATTGGTGACTTCGAGGGCAATTAGGTAGCCTCCAGGTTTCAGCAGCTTTCGGATGTTATGGAGAGATTTTTCTATCTGTCGAGTGGCGTGGATCACATTGGACGCCAGGATGAGGTCGTAGGCTCGCTCCTCAAATCCCTGTTGCCCAATATCCTTTTCGATATCCAGTACCTTGTAGATGAAACGGTCATCATGATGGACCAGGGAATGTTGGGCATCCTCAAAGAACCCGGCCGAGATGTCAGTGAAGGTGTATGAGTGGTAAGACCGCCCTACGTGCTCGAGCACGGCATGAGTTGCGGAGCCTGTGCCACCGCCAATCTCCAGGATCTTCATGGATGGGTAGCGAAAGGTGAGTTGTTTCATATACCTGCCCATAATCTCATTTGCGACCCGCAACTCATCTTCTTGGCTGTAAAAGCGGGTGAGGAGATCACCATCACGGAGAACTTGCAGCATGCTGGTCTGCCCACGTAGAAACCCCAGCAGATTCAGACGCACTGCGTCCATAATTTCCGAAAATACGGGTTGAAGTTGCCTCTGGAGAGATATCCTTTCCTCATTTCCTTCCTTCAACCATTCCATCCTACAAACAGGATGTATGCCCGCTTGAGTGAGCGCCATCACATGGTCAATCCATGCCACCACCCTGCTTTGGTGCGAGCCCAAATTTTGCCGGTCGACATCCTTCAGTTGAGAAATGGTATCTTTGAGTATCAAGAAAGCAACATGGTCCCCAACCATTATGTTGGACGTCGTATCTGTCGTGAAGAATTTGCTTAAACTATTGGCGTCTGGATGAAGCGGCCCCCAGGCGAACTCCTGGAATATAGGTCGATCGTCTGACGGGGATGGTGGACGAAGAGGAGAGATATGGATGCCTTCCAACTGGGCAAAGCCGTGTCCGTTAGAACCAAAAATCTCGACGTCACCTGCTGTAGCATCGCAGGAAAATTCGGTGAGAATGGCATCAAATGACAGCAAGCTCCCGGCAGTTTCCAAAGTGGCGGGGCCAAGGAACGCTGGATTGATTGTGACTGTTTCAATGTAGTTTGGAACGTAAATAGATGATAGCTGACCATCTCCTGGCGCTCCAATGGCGCCCAAGATACCCTGGAGGCTTGTCTCCATGATAGCAGGATGAAGTAGCATAAGGCCACTGGCATTTTTCAGCAGGCCGCGAGACATGTCCACAGTCCGCTCTAGTGATGCGAGACCCCGAAAGAGGCCCTTGAAGTTATAACCGATGCGAGAAAGAGACGAGTAAAACTCATCGATTTTAACTGGGATCGTTTCGGCGATAGCGGGCGTCCTAAGCGGCAGCAGACACATATCGGGCGTTCCCCAAACAACGTTAAGTTGGCCCGAGGCGCATTTCGTCATTTTGCCTTCGATGGCAGCTTCGCAGGTGAAGGCCACTAACATGGTATCCTCAGTCGACTCTTCCTGATGCAAGTGGCAATTCGCTTCGACAGTCTCTTCATGGCCGACAAAAGCAATGGCATGATGTATAGTAATATGATGCATCGTCACCACTCGCAACGGCCTTCCCGGAGCAATTTGTGCAACCGCTTCCAAAGCCATTGCAATATATCCCGTGTCTGGAAATCTCGTGTTCGATTCCAATTGGTGATTATCAAGCCATTCAATCCTTTGGGGTGACAGAGAATGCCGCCAGTGCCATTCGCCGCCTGCTGTGCCGCTACTGCGAGACCCAAGTAGTGAGTTGGGAGGGATGCTCCGCTGGAGCCTTTCTTTCACTTCCCTTGGTTCATAGCAGTATGACTGGCCGTAGTCAAAAGGGTACAGAGGCAAGTCGGTAATAAATGAGGGGTTCTTCGACGGATAGAAGAGAGCCAGATATTGACTGACATTCACTGCGTCAGATCCTAAGTGATCCCGCAAGGTACCGATAGCTCTTGCAACTGCTTCAATCCCTCCCATTTTCCGGTTAGCCAAAGATACGTATGGCGGGGCCTCTGTGCAGTTTGAGGCTGTTTCAGTGATTGTTTGCTGGACTGGGCCTTTTAGTGCAGGATGAGGCCCAACCTCAACAGTGAGATCTATCGAGGCTTCGTGCCGATTTATAGCCTCGGTCAACGCCTGGCAGAAAAGAACGGGATTGACCATGTTGTCTGCCCAATACTGCCCTGAAAGTCCGGTGCACTCAGTCTCCCCGTGAGTCACGCCGCCCTGGTAGACGCTTGAGTACCAGAAAGTTGACGATTTAGGCTTCCTAGGCTTTATATTGCACACTCCCAATGCTTGCATATAACGATCCAAGCATGGCTGCATATGATGGGAATGATAGGCTGTGTCGACGTGTAGAGTGCGTGCAAACTTGCCGCGGTCTTTCAAATGTTGCTCTGCCTGTTGAATGCCATCCGCGTCTCCCGAAATGGTGACACTTGAAGGGGAGTTGCAAGCAGCAATAGCAATACGACCAAAGAATGTAGCTTCGGAACAGAGGTCCAAGGCCTCTGACATAGAGAGACCGGTTGCAAGCATCCCTCCTTGTCGACCGTTTGACCCAGCATGAACAGCTACCAAGCCGCGGAGATGCGCAATTCGAATGGCATCGTGAGAGGTCAATACACCTGCGGCATAGGCAGCTGCTATCTCGCCCGACGAGTGGCCAACCACAGTATGGAAGGAAACACCAAGTGTCTGGAGGACATTTATTAGAATGATCTGAATGGCAGTGCACAAAGGCTGACAGACAGCTGCTTCATGAAGTCGCGATATGGGAGATTCCGCAGAAAGCTCCTTGAGCATGGTGGACGTCGGTCTATATTCCACTGGTAAGGTATCAAGAGAGTCTTGAAGTTGATTCAGCCATGCTTGAGCTGCAGGGGATTTGGAAATGAGCTCTAGCCCCATCTGGGGCCACTGAGCACCTTGGCCAGTGAATATGCCAAGAACTCGCTTCCGTCCCTCTCTTGGGGTAGGCCGCGATATCAAGGTGGCTGGCGGGCTTGCTTTTCGCTGATCCAGTTCGTCGCGAAGCCTTGTTTGCAACTCATCAATATTGGGTGCCCAAAGGCTCAGGCGGTGACTCAGTGCTGAGCGCCTTTCGAACATAGACCATGCTAGATCCACTGGATCAATATGGCGTCTGGTCTGCAGATAATTGATATACCTGTCCAGCACCTTGACTAGAGACTCTTCCGATGCCGCTGAAAACATAAAAGGGAGGACTGCCGTGGCCTCCTCTCTCAGAGAAAGGGTATGTACGGAGCCAGAGTCCGAACGGTCTAGGCCATAGCTTTCTAGTATGGCATGACAGTTGCTACCACCGAACCCGAACGAGTTCACGGAGACGCGTCGTGGAACCCCTGGGCCCAGCTTGGGCCACGATATTGATTTCGTGGGAACCAGCAAATGGTTCGCAAAAGGTTCCAGCTCAGGGTTCAGTCGATTGAAATGAAGATTGGGAGTGATCTGTCCGTGCTTGATGCAGAGGTATGCTTTTAGGATTCCGGCCAATCCAGCAGTGCCTTCCGTGTGACCCACGATGGTTTTGATCGACCCTACATGCAGTGGGTCTAGCGTAGCTGTCGAAGATGTGCCAAAGAATACTTGGTGAATCGCCGCTGCTTCTTGAGGGTCTCCGGCCTTTGTGCCAGTACCATGTGCCTCAAAATACTGAGGTCGTTCATCTGGACATTCGACATTCAGCCCGGCAAGTGCATAAGTTGACCGTATCAATTGAACCTGTGCAGCACTGGACGGCATCGTAATGCCCATACTTCGACCATCCTGGTTGGTCCCTGTGGCCCGAATCACGCAGTCGATTTGGTCTCCATCAGCCACCGCATCACTCAGTCGCTTCAAGACAACGGATGCCACCCCTTCACCGCGTGCGTAGCCATCGGCATCAGCGTCCCACATTAGGCACCGACCGCTTGGGGAAAGCATTTGCATGTTGGAAAAAGCAACAAACATATGTGGAGACAACAAGAGATTTACCCCAAGTGCAGTTGCAACATTACATTCCCCCTGACGTAGAGCGGCGACAGCTTGATGCAAGGCAACTAGGCTCGAAGAACAAGCCGTGTCGATTGACATTGATGGGCCTCGCCAGTCGAAGAAGTATGATATGCGATTAGCCAGATTGTTTCGTGACACACCCACTGCACCATAAAGAGGCATTTCTGGACCTCCAGCGAGGATGTTCTCGAAATCGGAGGTCATGACCCCACAAAAGACACCGGTAGGCGAACCGCGAAGTCTCTCCAGACAGATTCCAGCTGACTCTAGCGACTCGTAGACGACTTCCAACAGAATACGCTGCTGTGGGTCGAGAGCATTTGCTTCATCGACTGAAAGATTGAAGAATGGTGCGTCAAACTGTTTCACACTGTCGTTGATAAAGTATGATTCTTTGACATTCGTTGTGGCTGGATTGGAGCCATCGGGGTCGTAGAATCCGTCGAGGTTGAATCGGTCAGTGGGTGGTCTCGATGCCACGTCCGACGGGCTATTCAATAGATCCCAGAGTTTTGCAGGAGTTGATGTATCTCCAGCAAACCGACACGCGGTTCCGATGATAGCAATTGGCTCAGGTTCCATATTTTCAGGGTAGTTTAAAATGGAAGAAATAATAATAGAATGCCAAAGCTCGAGCTTCTCAGTCTTAAATCAATACTCAAACTTGGCTAACACGTATTTGAGCGAGACATTTCTGCAATACAATTTTGTTTACAGACCGACACCAAGGTGCATGCTAACTCTAGGTGCAGGGCGGATCGAATTCAGTTTCACCGTTATGTTCTCTTTAATTGTTTCTTAAACTCCATTTTTGCTGACGACAGGCCTAATGTAGCTGGTCGATGATCACTGCCATTTTCCTGATCTAAATGGTACAATCTACAATCGTACCTAGGTAGTAGGAAGTACCGATTAGACTGAAGCGGGTACAGCAGGTTTTGGTGGCCTTAGCGACAACCTAGCTTTTTGCCGGCAATAAAACCTATTACCTTAGTGCACGCTTTCGAATTTTCTATTGCTATAAGCCCTGTTGAATTACTAGGTATACGATAAACAGTTTAAATATTGAATTTCTCATAAAGTATGTTGTATTTAGGTAGCTTTAGCAGAAAGGTTATCCTAAAAATAAATAAAATTATAGTTTTTGTATAGTAGATCGAAGTTAATCTAGGCCGGTATTCTATAGGAATAGAATTACCGGTATTTTACCGCTAGGGTAAAAGGTGCCTACCTTCTAACCTTCGCTAGTAAGAGAGCTATAGGGGGGTATATACTTGTATATTTACCTAGTACATTAATATATTCCGATAGGTATACTAAGGTAGAAAACAATCTAGAAATTATCTACATTTATTTAGGAATGTTATTCTATTTATGCCGGAATTATATACCTAGGTAGAATTTGGAATAATAGTATAATGAGGGGTAGTAGCAGCAGATATATAACATTACGTTCGACTTAATGATAGTACTAGAGGTAGTAGCCGTAGGATTGAAGTCGACTTGATCAAATAATCCAAACTGAAATCCTAGGCGGTGATTCAGGCGGTGATGTTATATCTGGGGTTGGCGCTAAGGACCTGCCGTAAGTGGGTCTCAAGATTCAAGAAGAACCAAAAAGAATGTGATGAAACTGATTTTGAGGGGATCTCCAGGGCTGTATCCGAGGAATTCCAGCACCATTGAATGAGATAGCAGATTCCTCCTTACCTCCAGGGCTGTCCTCTCACTGCCTCGATATTCTTTCAAGGTTGCGGTCAAGGGAAAGCACACCGCCATACCTTCCCAGGTTTGCTCGTCAGCATATCAACATTCCAATCAGTGGTTGTTTACAGAGTGCCTAGCTAACCGCTAGATATATTCAACCATTCAGAAAGTAGTATTTTATTAATCTGACATTAATGTTTTCTTCAAAATCCTTTTTAAAATTATTACTATATAAATTTATTGAGGGAATAATACCGTTCGAAATTCGTCTATCTTGGTTGGAAAATGGCTACGGAGTACTTTTTACCTAGTAATGGGTAAGGATTCAATCATTTCAGTGATGGTACGGAGTACAGGGTACCTAGGTATGTGCCCGCGATTGTAATTCTTGGCTACATACATCTTTCTTAACCACGAGACCACGCACTCCCGTATTTGTCATTGCACGTTCTTCCTCCCCATGCAAGGTGTACTTAAGATCAACCTCCTATAGAGAGAGGATGTGAAATCATGCGAAAGACAGTCATCGAACAGCACAAAAGCCACCATTTACGCAAATGAGCTGGCCAGTGACGAAACGTGATGCGTCAGACAACAGGAAGGCAACCATTGGGGTGACATCAGTGTCTGGATCTCCTAACCCACCGCCCAGGGGGATTCGAGCGGCCAGATACGCTTTCTGTTGTTCCAGCTCTTTTTCCGTGAGGCGGTTCAAATATTGGTCCACCATGGGAGTTGAAGCCAACGGCAGCAGCGCATTAACCCGGATGTTGTATTTTCCCCATTCGACGGAGGCTGCCCGAGTGAAAGTATGTACTCCCCCTTTGGATGAAGAATAATGTGCAGCCGGGGGAAGGGGTTCTAGCCCTGAATCAGACCCCATGTTCAAAATCACACCGCCACCATTCTCTTTGAAATAAGGGAACACAGCTTGGTTCATCAGGAAAGTGCCCTTGAGGTTGATGTCCAGTACTCGATCCCATTCTTCCTCCAAAATAGTCTCGAGGGGTGTTCTGCTTTCGATTCCGGCAGTGTGTGCCAGTCCATCCAGGCCCTGCAGGGCCTCCGCGGTCTTTTTCACAGCCAACTCCACTTCTGTCTTATTAGAGACATCCACATGAAGGTAAAGTGATTTGGCGGTCGACTGGGAGTTCAGGCTGTTCACCAACGAAATGCCCTCTTTGTCTTTGATGTCAAAAATGGCCACAACTGCTCCCTGCCGCACTAAGTATCGAGCCACAGAGGCCCCTATCCCGCCACAACCCCCTGTGACGATAAATCGCTTCCCGGTTTGGTGCATTGCACAAATAGAGGGAGTAATGAAAGTTGGGGTGGTTGATGTGTTAGTATGAACAGGTTTCGTAGTGAGAGTTAGTTGTCCAAAATTACTACAGTGGCTACTTATGTAAAACTACCAAGTCGGCTATTGCGTAAGCAAATGTTTGCCCAGGTCGGTTTACAGTTGACTAGGCAATTCCCTATTGGGGCAAGTGGAGCCGTGGAAACCGGGCTATCAGAAATAAAGTGTACCCCTACAAAATCTGCTTGATCATCCTGATACCTGGAAAAGACCCTTAACGTTACAACCCCCGGGGCTACTTCCACTGTGTTGTACGTACATACCAAACGGGAGCGACGTGGAGGACAAAATGTAGCACGGTTGAAGTTCGATTTTTCACCTCAATCGGACATAAAAACTTCCAGGACTGCAATGTCCAAGTTGTCTAGGGTCCTGGGTGAGAATACGTGTACAACATTCCGGGCGCAGTAAGGTGGTATTGAGAGACAACTTACAGGCCTACGAAGAGTGGGTGGGGCAAATTCCTTCCCTGACGTGTCATTGCAGAAAGAGAACAGGTAATGCAGCTCGCAATATAACTTTCGCTGCCCCTAGCTGGATTATATATAGGCGGACACGCCAACTCGAATGAACCATACCACATCACTCTAACGAGCCTGATAACAAGGATCATAATATTTCTGCCAAGCTATGTCGGATATATCAGCGGAGAATCTGTTCTCGGTGAAGGGACTGATCGCCGTGATTACCGGAGGCGGGAGTGGTAAGATTTCCATAAGACCATCAATGTTACGTACGCGAAAGATACTCATCAATTGCAGGATTGGGTGCCTCGATGGCTCGAGCCTTGGCTGCAAATGGTGCAGAGAAGGTGTTCATCATTGGACGCCGAGAGGAGAGACTTTTCGAAACCGCGAGAAGCGCATGTGATGGGAAAATCATCGCGGTTCCCGGGGACGTGACCTCCAAAGCCTCCTTGCAGGAAGCATTCAACCGTGTAAAGGCTGAAACAGCCAGGATTGATCTTTTGATCGCTAACAGCGGTGTCAGCGGCCCGCTTTTACCAGCAAAAGGGGATGCAGCAGGTAATCAATCGACACTATCGGAATTCCGAGAGTTCTTTTGGTCTATTCCCATGGAAGAGTACACACAAATCTTCCATGTGAATGTGACTGGTGCATTCTATACCGTCCTCGCTTTTCTTCCCCTTCTCGAGGCATCGAATCAAATGCCAAGGTCACCAGACCAACCCAGACCGCAAGTGATAGTTACTTCATCCGCTGCGGGTTTTCTGAGGAACGACATGGGAGGTTACGCTTATTCATGCTCGAAGGCAGGATTGACTCATCTGGCGAAAATGCTCGCATTCACACTCTGCCATCATGATATCCGTGTGAATGCTATTGCGCCGGGTATATTCGAGACAGAGATGGTCTCTGGCTACTTCCATCAGCACGGTATCCAACGTGCAACGGATGAGGGATCCCTCCCGAAAACAATGATCCCACTGGGCCGATGCGGAGGTGAGACAGACATTGCAGGTATTATACTCTGGATGGCAGGAAAAGCAGGAGCATACCTCAACTCGAACATAGTCATCTCTGACGGAGGAATGTTGAATCTGATGCCTTGTTCCTTCTGAACTCTGCTCTTATGACATCAATCCGAGGAGTCGCTTCCGCAGGGATGCGCTATAAGGAAGGTGCAGCTGTTCCACTCACCGCTTGTCCTATAATTGAAAATCGTTTTACACAGCCCAGGCAAATGAAGTTCAAAACGAGTAGTGGCCCATCTTGGCCTCTTTAGGCGGGCAGAATGCAGGGTGGTCTTGCGGAGTCAATGCCATAAGATAAAGTCGTATTTTATCCCGGACTTACAACCGATACAATGTTATACAACCGATACAATGTTAGTCTGTCCCGTGGACACTTAAATGAATAAATGACAGCAGCAATTCTCACTCTCTCCTTGGTGTTAGTCTGTCCCAGGACCTTCGTCTCTACCTCCAAAGGAGTTGGCTCAAACACGACGACTCGGAATTAAAGAGGCACTACCCCCTTTTGCCTAGCATGGATGAATGTTATCCCGAGCTCTCGTCCTTGAGGGGCCAGCGTATCATTGTGACCGGTGGTGCTCGGGGGATTGGTGGTGCAGCAGTCCGGTTTCTTGCTCAGCAGGGTGCTCAAGTGGCGATTTTCGATATCAACGATGACCTTGGAGAGGCTCTTGCTGCAAGCCTATCCAATAGTTTCTCGGCTGAAATTTTCTACTCCCACGTCGATGTCGCCAGCAAAGCTGAGGTCGCTAATGCTGTCCCGATGGCCATAGCGAGACTTGGTGGGCTCGAGGGATTGATCAATGTCGCGGGGATTGAGCGGCAGGCACCAATTGAGAACATAGCCGAGGATGATTTTGACATGGTGTTGCGTGTGAATCTGAAGGGCACGTTTTTAATGAGCCAGGCGGTCTTCCCGTTCTTGAAAGACCATGGTGGTAGTATTATCAACGTGGGATCCGACCTGGGGCTCGATCCCCCACCCCTCAGCGCACATTATGCGACATCCAAGGGTGCTGTGCACAGCCTGACACGAGCAGCAGCTCTTGAATGGGCAAAGTATAATATCCGGGTGAACGCAATCCTCCCAGCAATGTGGACAGAAGCATATGATGAATTCAGGAGTCGACAGTCTAGCGAGGAATTAAAGGTCCATGATCAGTTCATGGCGGGAAGGATCCATTTGGGAGGCCGATTAGGCGACCCAAATAAGGACTTGGCCCCGGTCATCGGCTTCCTCATGTCTGACTCCTCGCGGTTTATTACCAGCCAGCTGATCCCCGTCAATGGTGGCCTGGGTAGCACTCGTTGAGAACCATTGATTAAGAGCTATTCGGAGAATGTGGGGTGGAAATTCTTACTAGGGTTGGTTATGCAGCAAATATTGAGCCTTGTTTTTACCCATATGAATTTCATCAACTTCACTGCACCATCAGTTGTGTTATATGTCGGAAATATGATGTATCTACATGTGGATTTCTGGGTATTCACACGAGAATCTCCTTGGACACCGGAATCAGACACCTCACATAAAGCCCTGGAGGTGCATATTACTCTTTGTCAGCATGTCCTGTAAAATTGTCAATTTCATAGTTTTCAGTTAGAGAGTTTGATTTCACACTCCTTGCAGCAGAAATCGACTTTTTCATGCATGCATGTCGGCCACTAGCGCACTGTACTTCATGGTAAATTGCCAGATTTGGAATTAATTTGAGGATTTATTCTGCCCTCATTATCTACAATTAAATAATTTGTGTGAATTAAAATATTATAGAACATGATAAAACCTATCCATGGATTTATTTAGCTTGAGTCGACTATACTTTTCTAAACAAACATTTGGAAGTGATGCACTGGCTACCTAGTAAATATGTATTTGCAGAATAGTATCAGATCGAAAACTATACTTTTAAATTTCTAGCGGTAATAAAGTGGATCTGTGGGTCTCTTCTAATTGCTCTCCAAGGAGTGTATAATTCGGCATCCCATACGGAGTACAATATTGTTCACTGATTGATTTCTGTCATTATACTCTAGTTTCGGCCACCCAGATGGTTCAATTTTGATGATTCTACATGTTCCACTATTTAGAAGCAGAAATCCAAAACAATAACAAATCCTATATCCCGTGCCTAAGTGATCTGAACTGCACCACTAGCTCACTTTAAACTAGTTAGCCAATGACCTCACTGATCAACTTTTGGGGCCATTCGGTCAAAGAGTGAAAGGCGTTGGCAAAGGTCTGCAAAAACATGAGTACCTCATCCTTCTCAATCACATTACTGTCGGACTTGACGTCAATTTGGATGTTGTCCCGCGATGGGTGGCAGGTAAGGACTAGTCCAAAGTTGGCCAGCATTTCGCTCCCCGACAAGGAATGAGATTGGGAAAATATGCCATTGAACATGCTCGATGCATCGGGCTGGACAATGAGGATGGTCTGGTATCGACAGGCGAGTGCCGCCTGGGTGCTGACCTGGCTGATAAGGGAGGAGCCAGCATGTTCAAACCGGAGATCTTCCAGCGCCTGGTCTTGGACCAGTTTCATCGCCCTGTAGAGCGTTACTCCTTTCTCCAACGTAATCCGCACGGGGACAAAGGTTGCCGTTGGACCAGCGAGCTCGGCTATTCCACGCACTGGAGTGCCGCGACCGGTAACTATAGCGCCAAACACGATGTCGTCGTGGCCCATGCTATTCGCCATGGTGATAGCCAGCGCCAGTCGGAGTCGCGTTGACAGCGTAAACTCGCTATTTGTGTACGGCCTGGGAAACTTGTATTGCCAGCGTGAATTTTCGATCGGACAGTACGCTTGATGCGGTAGGCAAGGATATACCTTTCCAGAAAACCCTGCGAACTGGTTTTTCCAGTGGTCTCTAGCCTGTGCATCCATTTGCAGCGTGTGCTGGACGTAAGATCTAAATCGCTGAAGGGGGATGCTATGCCCCCGGTAACCATGGTCTATTTGCTGGAAGACCAAGGGGAGCGAATAGTAGTCGAATAGGACATGATGCATCATTACTGCACAGCGCCCTTCGGATGCAGCGATGCGTACTAAAGGCTGTCCAAACCCCCAGATGTCTCTCTCAGCTTTGAATTCACTAATTGAGTCAGGAGAGTCCGAGGGCGGGCCATCCCGTAATACTGCCTGTAGATATTCATTTTCCCCTGATCGGATGATTCGTGTCCGTAGGATGGGATTTGCTTTCACGGCAGCATCCCAGCCACGGGAGAGGCGATTGCAGTCCACATCATCGGGCAAATCGAACTGCAATAGCAATGTATAGTTTGCTGAACTCTGGGATGCCATCCTAATAAGCCACATCTGCGCCTCGGTGCATGGATAGATATCTTCGACCATCTCCTGCCCAACGCTGCATTGTTCTGCAGCCACCTGCCGCATCCGCTCCAATATAGTCATGTCGCTCTTCGCCTGCCGGCAGTGGTCTGCACCGTCTGGTTGACTATCAGTCGTTCGACGCACGAGTGATGCCAACTCCGCTACTGTAGGATGACGAAATATGTCCAGAACTGATAGTCGGAAGCCTCTCTCACGCGCGTAGCTGACAAGCTTCATGGCAGACAAAGAATCCCCGCCAAGAGAGGTCCAGCTGTCGCAGCAGCCGATATTCTCCGGGGGTAGCAACAGCACATCTGCCCAAAGCTGTTGCAGGGTCTGCTCCTTTTCGCTAGTCGGGAATATTTTGGGTGGTTGGCCGCAATACTCTCGCAGCTGTGCAACACTCAACTTCCCAATTGCCTCACGCAGCGACCGGCGATCCGCCTTGCCCGTTGGAGAACGTGGAATGCATGTGATGTTCATGATAAAGGAGGGGACCATATAGCTTGGTAGAGACTGGTGGAGCGAGTACAGTGCTGCCTTCGCATTCTCATGAAACTCTGGCGTCGGCTGTAGGAATAACTCGCAGGGCGATGTGCGTTGCTTTTCAACAGAGCAGCAAATGAAAGCTACAAGCACTGGTGTTCTGCCCATGAGGGTCGCCACATCCGCGAGAATACCACTAGCCCCGTTGAAGTATTGCCATAAAAGATGTTCAATTTCCCCCAGCTCAACCCGCTGTCCGCGGAGTTTCACCTGCATGTCCTTTCTGCCACAATAGAGCAAAGATCCGTCGTCTTCATAACGGACCAAGTCACCCGTCTTATACCACCTCGTACCGAGCTCAGGGCGAACGTAGGTCGCCCATTGCGGCTTGCTAACAAAAGCCACCGCGGTTCGTTCGGGATCGTTGAGGTAACCACAGCTGATAGTGGGGCCCTGTAAAAGGAGCTCCCCTTCAGCCCCAATGGGTACGAGACGGTTGTGATCCTGCGGGTCCACCACCCAACAAGCAACACATCCCTTTTTCCCGATATTGACTGGCTTTGTTGATGGCCCAAATTCTGGCTGGACTCTCGAGGCAACGGCGCACTCACTAGGGCCGTAGATCCCTATGAGCTGCACATGCGGACCCCACATGTCAATGTCTACCTTCGAGATAGCTTCTCCACCCAGTACCAGTGTTTTCAGCGTTGGGCAGCGCTCCGGGGGGACAATGCGCGCAACAGATGGAGTTAAGCAGACCCAATTGACTTGCAGGTTGCTCATCACCTCGCTGAGATCTGTCTGCCGCTCTGACTCACTGGGAACACAGATGCAGCCACCGACTAGGAGAGTTAGAAGGTGATCGGAGGTTGATACGTCAAAAGCGTATGATGCGAATTGTAGAACCCGCGACGTGCGTTCTAGTTGCATGCTAGCAGATAGGCAAGCCGTTCCAGTAGCGAACGCGGAATGGGAGATCACGACTGCTTTCGGCTGTCCTGTCGATCCCGAAGTGAACAATACAAAGGCGATATTGTCGGCGCCGACCAAGTATGAGCTATTGTCCATTAGTTCCACCGGAGCCCCTAGAAAAGAAAATTCATCGAGTTCGATGACAGTGGGCGCCAGCTTCGTGCCTAAATCCCTGCGATATGGGGAGACAATTATTGTCGTAGCTGAAAGTTGCGAGCAAATAGTACTGAGCCGTTCCAAAGGGTGCTGCGGATCCAAGAGGGTAAAGGCACTGCCAATCTTCATCACCGCTAGCATCGCGACCACGGTCCAACGGCATTTGTCAAAGCAGAGAGGTACGTAATCACCAGGCTTTACCCCAACAGCGACGAGTTGACTTGCAAATAGGAAGGAAAAAAGTTCTAGCTCGCCATATGTGAGACTGCCATCCCAAGAGCACACTGCCGGAGCATTTGGCTGAGATTCACAGCGCTCCTGGATAATGTGGTGAATGCATCTGTCCACTCGTTGCGGGATTATGGCATTCCAATTTATAAGCTGCTCGCTCTCGCTGTGAGAGAGCGCTCCCTCTGTTAACGTCACGCTTGAGAACATGTAGACGTGTGCGAACTCAAAGATAGATCTGGAAGTCAAAGAAAAAAGCAGGCCACATCCAAGCAATGAACCATAAATCATTCGCCCTTCGCTATGTATGCGGGAGCCTGCTATATTATGCTATGTTGTGAGACTATACACGCTGGAACGTGCGCCATGCTATGGCGGTCAATATAAGCCGATCACTCACAATCGACTCTATGCATCAGGACCATCTTGACGCGTCACTGAGAAAGCCATCGGAACATCTTTGGAACACCATCCTACTCCTTGCTTCCGAAAAGCATTGGCTTCTAACCAACCTATGATCAGCCTGTGCCTTGGGTCTTGTAAGGACCTGCATGTACAACACATTTCTACAGATGCTTTGTATATGAGAACCTATGCCACATCATTCGTCCATTATGGGAATTCCACATCAAGTGAAGTGTGCGCCCCAAATCCTGCTCTGTGGAATCTGATGAGAGGTGCCAAGCTGGCTGGAATGGAGATTGCAGATAATGATGATGGTATATGTGGGAGAAAAAGAGAGATATTTGAGATCTGAAAGCTATCTATCTGATCTGGCTATCTGACCCACTGACCATCACAACAGAATCTGCATACGTATCCTTGCCTTTTGAGCAAGGGCCTCCCCCTTAATTATTAAGAGTCGGTCATACTTGATAACGAGGTGCATCTGATTCACCCATTGAGTTATGGTAGCACTGTTGCATTTCAATGGGTGGGTGGGGAGAGGGGGGCGCAGAGCCTGGTCCCACACAGTGATATTGCGGTGAAGAAACCCGTATCATAGTGTGGAAAAGTGAGAGAAATACCCGGCTGAATGGATTAACGGAATTTCGATACCACAAGGCGACAATCAAGGGATATATTCTTCGTACCAAACAGTACATACAGGGAATGCCTTTCGCTCGAAATCATTCATCCGTAGATCTGGCCACTATATAGGTGAGATTTGCTGCTCTTCATTCAATTTGTTGACCTAGCCCTCTCTGTTCCAACCTATCCAAATCACCACTTCGCTGGCCTTAATCTCTCCTCACTCGACGCGTCTCTTACGATGAGGTTGCAGCCATATCTAAACAATCCTCTTGACAAATGGCAGCCTCTGCAACCAAGAGGGGACGAATCATTCCCTTTTCTCTCTTCCAAGGGATCCGACTGCCTCATATCTCATGAACATGCTGTGTTGTTGGATCCGAAAAGCCACGGCTTGGACTGGCACTTTCTGCTGCCAGGATGTAAACAAAGCAAACACTACCGGGAGGCAGAGCAAGCTATTACCGAGCTGTGGACCAATATTACTGTTGCTGATAAGCTGAGACAGGGAGCTTTGCCGTCCCCTTTGAGTGGCACGCTTGGTTCCGAAAAGGCACAAGAGCTATGTAACACATCGATCGACTGCGGTATTAACATGTGGCCCTCATGCGATCCGCGCAAGGTTGGAATAATTGCCAAATCGCTTATGCTTCTGTTTCTCCACGACGGTATGTGAAACCAAGCCATCCTTGCTGCGAGCCTAAACCTCCTCCTGGTCAATCCAATAACTTTGTTTTGATGTTGGTTTGCTAACTCTGTTCCGGATGAATCTCCAATTAAGACGTTATTGAGTACGCATATTCAAAAGAGGTTAGCGGCTTTTTCCCTATTTCAGCAAGCCCACTAGGTCTGTGCTTAACTCATATCTAGTCCGATACTATCTTGGAGACGGGCATAAGTTTGGACCAGAGTTACACCAATCGTCCAACCCCTCATGATCCAAAGGGTAGCATATTTGCTAAATTTGTTACTGAAACACTGGCTGCCGACCCGGCATGGGGCCCTGGCATGCTACGGGGAATGATCGCCTACGCCAAGTTCACCAACAAGAACCAGCACATGACGGATATCTCATTTCCCAGTCTATCCAGTTACATAGAGTACAGATGTGCTGATGTGGCAAATGAGTACGTTGCCTTCCCTTTCCCCAAGCGGTTTTCCTAAATCGCAGCCTTTATGGCCCATGACGAACAAGACATAGAGGCTAATCTGAATCGGGCGCACACGCATAATTTGCGTGTGCTTCCTACTTGAGCGTTCAGATACATTATCGCCGCAACTCGGTATAGTTGTGAGTTTCCACTGACTCACAATGATGTGGAAAGCCTAGGCGCCATCGAAGGTCTAGTAGTCAAACATTGCTCTCTAACAAATGACCTCTATTCGTTCGACAAGGAGTGCCAAGAGCAAAAAACGGCAGGTGCTATGCTGGTAAATGTTGTGCAATGCTTGAAGGATGTCTTGGGTGTGTCGAGCCAAACTGCCAAAATGGTAGCCATGGGCGTCATTTGGGAAGTTGAGAGAGAGCTAGCCAGTGAATATGATGAGAATGTCGCGCTGGGAAGATGGTCTCCCTCTCAAACCCTCTATGTCGAGCGGCTTATTGAAGCGGCCAGCGGAAATGGATTCTACTCAGCCACTGCAGGTCGGTATTCCAAGCAATACATGTTACGGAACACCGAGTCTTGTTGCGGGTCTGAGGGGTAAGCGTTCATTCCCATGGTGCTGTCTAATGGTGCTCAGGAAAGTATCGGAGGCTTTTTATGCTCAATTGAAAGGCAATTTTTCGCATGGATCCTCGGCCCGCTCTGTGACTATAGTTCAGTGTTGGGGTATCACATGGCACAGAGTCATGTGCTCTGATTCTCCAGGACCTATTGAGACAGCTCTCTCTCTCTTTTCTTTTCTTTTTCTCTTTTCCTAAGTTTCAGTTTCAGCAGTTTAGTCAATACATACGTATTGCTTCTCTCCCTCGCTTCTCCAGATTTAGTGATACATAGCACGAGGTCTAAGAGTACAGAATCCTGGTCCAATACTGTCTCGGACCTACTTCTTATTGTTTGTTGACTAAAGAAGCCTTTTATTTTGGTCTCAATTTCTGGATAGTTCATCACCCTCCAGACACTGACATTGTTTGTCGGCGCGGCCCGTACCTGAAACAAGCTATCCCATATTGAGATGGGTGCTTAGATATTGTCCACTAATAAATTAGTTCCATTTATAGGCTAGTTGAATTCGGCCTAGTGCCCTTTAGCGGAAATCGGCACTTTATTCAATATTAGGTTTTCGCAAAGCCTAACTTTAGGCCCGGAACCCCCGGCCCATCCCGAGGTCGTGGGCCCCCACTGGGCCCCTACGAAAGCCTATTTCTATTACACAAAATACTAGTATTGGCGTTTATAAAGCTACTAAATCATTAAAATAAATAACTGTACTTTATATATAATATTTAGTAGATAAACTATGTAACTACCTAGTAGGTAAGGATTGTTTAGTTTACTATATAGATTGTTAGAAATGTCACAAATATTGTACGAATACTGCATGAAACCGGGTCTATAGATGATCCGACCGGCATAGCTTATGTAACTAGAATGGACCCATAAATAGCGAGAAAATAGGGGTAATGGAAATACAGAGTCATTTACATCTCCAATTGGCCGGATACAGGACAAATCGCGACAAGAAATCCATGCCTTAGGCTGACTGTAATTTACTAACCACATATGGCTAGTGCATTTTGGCCTCGTAAACATCTCCTTTTGCGAAAATCGCTGTAGGAAACAAATTACCTCGAAGGACGAGCCCTAGGAGTCTGGCCCGCCGAAGCCGGATATTGCTGTTGAATAGATCTGGTGTTTGTTATCTTTACAACGGGACTGTGATATGTCCGACCTCGGGACGCTGCAAGGGAGAATTGGGTTCCTTCCCAGAAGATGCCAAGTGACATCTAAGTTATTACTCCCATTCCAATCAAGTAACATTCTAGGGCCCCGCCTTTACTGTCTATAGAGCATTAGGGCCATCTCAAGGTAGCGGTCTAGGGAGGCCCTTCAGCAAGGGGATCAACCAGACTTATTCACCCGCTCATATGACTGAAACGATGGCATCAGAGTGGACTGTTCGAGGACTAAGTACAATGGTTGACAACATTGCTACTGGCTCTTTCTTAACCTCCTCACTGTAGGGCCCATCCCTTCCGCGTTATTGAGCAACAGAGGCCGCGGCAGTTGTAGGTGGTGACAGACCATCCATTCTTTCAAAAATGGTGGTGACCAATGACAGCCAACGTCAACTGAGAGTTATCCAAGGCCCAACGAGATTTTCCCCTTGCTTTTCAGTCTTTCTTTCTCCCCCTTTTTGGCCTTGGCTTCCCTCGGGTTATAATTGTTTCTGTTTGTGGACAGCGTCGAGTCAATCGCAGCAAAGCTCGAACTCCATCTCCCCTGTTCAGCACTCACGCCAAGAAAATTTACTTCACATATCTTTCAAGTATTGCTGCTACCTAGTATTTGCTCGCAGTCATGTTCTATATATTCATTGTCTCGATTACTGCCTTCCTCTGGCATTTCTTTGGGCGGAAGTCAAAGCTTCCATTGCCTCCTGGACCTCCCAGTCTCCCAATCGTTGGACATGTACGACAAACACCTTTGAAAAACCCATGGAGAACCTACAAAAAATGGCACGAGGCTTATGGGCCAATTATAAGCCTACGCTATGGCAACCACATTGTTGTGTCAATTGGGTCTCACGAGATTGCAAGGGATCTACTTGTGAAAAGAAGTGCCATATACAGCTCGCGGCCGTCGCTGATTGTTGGAGGGAAATGCATTGCCAAAGATCTTCACACGGCCATGCTCCCATATGGACAGCGTTGGAGAACGCATCACAAGATTCAAAGCTCGTTTCTAAAGGGGAATTGGGCCGACCACTATCGATGTCTACAAGACATGGAGAGTAAACAGCTGGTATACGATCTACTCGCGCAACCGAACTTTTCCGAACAATTTCATCGATACACATCTAGTCTCATCTCAACGATGGCATACAGCAGACGAATCGAGAGCTATGATGCGGAAACTATCAGAGAGCTGGCGGAATTAACAGACGGCCTTCTGAAGGCCGTAAAGTCGTCCCAAAGTGTCCTGGTCGAAATTTTTCCAATCCTGAACCTTCTGCCCCGATGGCTGGCCCCTTGGAAGGTTGCTGGAGACATTGCGCACGAGCGGACAGTCTCTCTTTTTGGTTCTAATCTGACATACGGTCAGAATAGAGCCTCATGGAATTGGGCAAAGGCGGCTCTTGAGATCAAGGAAGCCCAAGGAATGTCGCATGATGAGATGAGTTATATTATCGGTGTCCTTTTTGAAGCAGGGAGCGATACAACCACCGGCGTGTTGAAGGTCTTTGTGCTGGCCTGCTTGACGTTCCCGGAAGCAATGACAAAAGCTCAAGAAGAGCTCGAGCAAGTATCCGGACTACCTTCATTTAGTGATCTGGACCGACTACCATACCTTAACGCATTTGTCAAAGAGTGTCTACGTTGGAGACCCTTAGCTCCGTTCGGGTTTCCGCATGCTGTTGACGCCGATGATGAATACATGGGGTATCACATCCCGAAGGGTTCCACAGTAATCGCAAACCACTGGACCCTTGATCTGGATGAAAATATCTTCGAATGCGCCACCGATTTTCGTCCGGAGCGCTGGATCGAAAACCCCAACCTCCCTCTTGCAGCGTTTGGATTTGGACGTCGAGGTTGTATTGGGCGACATGTCGCATATAACTCCTTGCTGATTACCATCGGTCGCATCTTGTGGACATACGATGTAACGCATCGATACAAAGACGGCAAAAAGATCGAAGTAGACCCGTGGAACATGCAACAAAATATGACTTCGTCCCCGGAAGACTTTGAGGCTGTCTTCCGCATCCGAAGTCTTGAGCGCCAGAAGACTGTGGAAGATGAGTGGAATACGGCGGAGAAGGATCCAGAAGCTATCATGAACCACGTACGGTCCCTTGCTACGTCTTCGGCGAGATGAAAACAGAAAACATGGATGGTTCTGCTGCTTGTATTGTTCGGTTCTTAGCCCAGAATGTTTCCACATCATTTCTAGTTATGAAAATCACGCACTCTCCAGTAACACCAAGTTCAACTATTATTGGATATGTATAAAAGTCTAAGCAAGCCATATGTAGGGTTGTGTCGTCCAGATTGTATACTGAAGGAAGCAATTAAACAGCCAAATACCCTGAAAGTGCATTATTAAGCGCAATCAGTCACTCGAAGGACTTGCAAGGTTCAAAAATGCTGAGACAAGCGCAGGCCTGATCTCAACAGCTCATGGCTTCTCCTTGTATCATTGTTGCTCGCGAGAGAGCGTCAAGATCTATGATAACAAAGTGGGTGTAGTATTATCCTTGGATTTTTTTGTTGTTTCTTGTGCTAGGGGCTTTTTTGCATGCCTCGATTTAGTGAAGGGAAAAATAGTAGAATGTTCCCCGACCAAGCCAATACACGTAGAGGAAAACGTGGTCCGCTGTAGACACGCCTACCTAGGTAATAAACTGCGGACAACAGGTTCTCCGAGTTCCTTCTTGTCGCCGTATAGTCACCGGATATTTATTTTACATTTCATTGGGCGTGGTCACTGATATTTTATGTACCACCATGTCGAAATCATCGGCTCATTCAGCCACAAGAGATGGCGACTGGGTGTTTGCACGATGTAAGCTTGAAGAGCGGCAAATCGGTATTATAGAGAGCTGTTTTCGACCATTCGCTCGATAGACTAAGTTTTTGAACCGCACTTTGGTAGATTGAGTCTGGGCGATGAATCCTTGACTATCCGCCAAATCCTATCCCCTCTTTGCTCACCCAGCTGGTCACTGCACTTGCTTGTGTCTGGCTTGTCGACTGCATCATGGCTGTTTCTTTTCTACACTCTGGTGTTAAAGTGCAAGCAATAGCATTTACACAATTTGGTGCGTCTTGTTTCGGTCGTAACTGGGCTTGTCGCAACACCCTAAGACACGTTACCGCATAGGAAGTTGGCATTGGCTATATTATCAGACTAAGTGGCAAAGTTCGTTCACACTGGCTGTCCAAAATTCTCGCAAACATTCAACAGACCGAATGATCACATTAAGCATAGTTTTGATGGTAAGAATAGTCCATATCTTCCACCAACAGCTGTCTTATGGCATCTCGGGGCGGTGTTGGATCTCTACACAGTATTTCCCGCATCAAACCGTCCGTTGTTTGGAGTTCCCCTCTGCCAATGGCTTTCCACATAGAAGCCATCACCTCAAAGAATGCGCGAGGCTTCCCCCCTTGATCACCCAACTCACTCATGTTCAAGTATGCTCCCGGGGATACATATTGGAGCTTCACGTTACGTCCGGTTGTTTCATTAATCAAGTTGATTATCTCCTTTCCTGTGATGGTACCCCCGGCTGTAAGGAGAAGTGTCCTGTTCTCAAACCCTCCACGGAGCATTAAGCGGGCTGTGCACTCAGCAAGCTCTGCACGGCTAGTAAATGCGATCTCTCCATCGTCTGGGAGAATCACAAGGGTCTCGTTTGGGTACCAGTTGAGAAAGACCGGAAAGCCTTCAGCGTACATCCCTTCACGAATAGATGTAAACGTAAGGCCGGATCTATTGGATTAGGGCATATGATTAAAGATAGGCTCTCTCGTGGTCATTATTTCCGTCGGGGGTATCTTACTCCTGAAGCATCTTCTCGGTGGCCAAGTGAGCCCGTTGCATTGGAACCTCAGAGTCATTTGTGAGCCCGCCAAACGTAAGAGAGGTGTACCAGACCTTGAATAGACTTAGTTAATGAACGAATGTAAACATGATGACTCAGATAAGAATAACGTACATGCTTAACATTTTCCTGCCTAGCAGCGTCCACAACGTTTCGATGGTGTCTCTCTATTCTTTCAATGTGGATCACTCCTGTAGCAGTGCTAACAAGTAGCAGGTTCTGAACATCACGAAGTGCTGTTCTAAGAGTGGCAGGATCCTCATAATCCAAATGACGGAAGTTGACACCACGATTCTCGAATAGCGATCTGTTGTCGGGATTAGAAGAAGAGGCGGTAAACTCAGTAAAGTCGACGTTGGCAATGAAGTAATCAAGAACCCCTCCGCCGAGGTCACCTGTTGCGCCTGTGATCAGGTATTTGACTGTCATTTTGTTGGTACTCAGACAAAAAGTTATTGAATGGTAGAAGGCCAGAAAGTGATATTATAAATAATGTTCTAGAGCTAGGAAGGTTATATTGAGAAATACAAATAATCCCGGAATGCATTTTGGGGGGGGAGGGGGTAGGAACTTGGATCATATTCACGTAAAGTGGAAAGTAAAGGCTATCAATCATGCTGAAAGGCTTTATGTCCACTTTTTTTCTCTTTAAGGCCAATCAGGCCCTTGCTGGAAGGGTAGGAACGACATAGCCACTACCAACTGTTGTGTCTCACCGCTTATTCTGCTTTATATGATATTGTACTCACTCAAAGTAGCGGTGAATTGGGGCAGCGAGGCTGTGATCCTGCTCAGACGCGAGGGTTATCCTGAGCAATGCGTATTACATAGTGCTTGTGTGTAATGTTACATTATGTTAGTGGTATCAGACTCTACTACTATATAACGCAAGGAGTTGATGCTGGGTGTGTTCAGAGTGCCACGTCAGCTCATATCGAACAAATGGAGTACGACCAGTAGCTCTGATGTAGGTGGGATGCCACAATGATTCTTGCTTGCTTTGCTTAATGAGACTAGTTTCTTCCGGTATATAACCCAAGCTGCCATCAAGTGGTCAGAGGGGCGATCTCAACCACAGGGACTTCTTTCATCAGTGCCATGGGGGATTATAAACCGACAAAAGCAGAGGAAAATGCGTTCTCGGTATGGGATGGTGCGCAGCCGCTAGGAACATCACTGCCGACTGGTGATCCTCACGTAAGATCTTGCTGCTTCCACTGAGAAGCGGTACCCGGAATTCCCACGGTAACCTTGAGCTGATAATCCTTGTCACACAGGCTGTGAGCTTCTCATTGCCCACTTGGACATCTGTCATCGGGCTTATGGCTGGAGAAGATTGGGTAAAGAACGCAAAACAGACCACTTACCCGAGGTGAGCATTCCCATACAAGTAGACTGACGACCTGTTCGCCTTGTAGCCTCGTCGAAGAGTTCTGACTACTCATGGAATAGGATGGGCTTATGCCCACTTGTCAGTAAGCTATGTGAGGCTGCCGTGAAACGTCTAAACCAACCCAAGGGCATGAGGTGCAGGATCTTCACCTCACATGATGCGGCAATACGTCTTGACCAAACACTCAAGAAAAAAGATCCAACCACACGCACATACGCCATTGATTTTGTCCCCCAGTCTGTTGATCCGGAAGTTCTAACATGGGGACGCTTTATACTGGTATTGTATGCCGATGCCATGGAGGAAGAAGCAAATCGATTCTTGCTCAATCACGGCGACGGTATCTCGAATAGGCACGCCGAGTTTTGCCTTTCCCTCATGCCCTTTATGGATACGAAATGTGGACCTGCAGGTTCACAATTCTGCGCCGCGGTCCTAGAGCCGAATATTAGCACAATTCAGCCGCCCCCTTGGACATGTTCTGGCTTAGAGGAGAAGGCGATCGTCAAGTCCATTTTGGCGGATTCAATAGTGTCCCAGAAAGCGGGCATGGCCCCTGTTCGACCTGACGATGTTTTCCTTTATTCCACCGGTATGATGGCCATTGGGAAGATTGCCCGTGTAATGAGCAGCACTTCGAAGGACGCTACTGCAGTGATATACGGGTAAGGCCACGCATGTCCCTAATCAATTTGTTGTGACTGACAACACTCTGTGATACTTATTAGCTGGCTCTATTCAGGTACCAAGCCTTTGGTGGAAGAGTGCGGGTTTTATGAGTGTGTACTTTACGGTCACGGCTCAGAGCACGAGCTGGACCTTCTCGAGTCCTCACTTGCAGCAGGAGCAAGATACACTGTCCTATTCTGCGAGATCCCATCAAATCCACAGCTGCACACGCCAAATTTGATTAGAATCAAATATCTTGCGGATAAGTATGGATTTACTACAGTTATCGATGATACCATAGGAACGTCGGTTAATGTGGATATCTTGCCGTATGCCGATGTCGTCATTACAAGCCTAACAAAGATTTTCAACGGAGCATGCAATGCGATGGGCGGCAGGTAAGTCAGGCGTGCTCCTGCCTATGTCCTATATAAGCCATTGGGCGGAGACTGATTTGTATCACAGCCTCATTGTCAATCCTAATTCTAAGTGCTATCCAATGATCCACGCCCAGCTACAGGATAGCTTTGAGGACGTTCTGTTCCCACTCGATGCAAAAATCCTAAGTAAGAATTGCGTTGACTATGCGGACCGTGTGCGAAGATGCAGTGCAACAGCTATGAAGATTGCCCATCTTCTCGCGGGCCATCCACTCGTGGAGTATGTCAATTACCCAACTCTGGTGCCCTCCAGAGCGGAATACGAGCGGTATCGGCGTGAAGGAGAGGGCTATGGATACTTGTTGAGTATCGTTTTCCGAAGTCCTGACAGTGCTGTTCAGTTTTACGACGCGCTGGACCTGTGGAAAGGCGGAAGTATAGGAAATAACAACTCTATCGCACTCCCATATTCGGTTCTCGCACACTGGGATGAACAAGATTGGGCGGCTTCATTTGGAGTTCCAAAACATATTGTACGCCTCAGTGTAGGCTTGGAGCCAGAATGTGAACTGCGGGCACGTGTGCTTGGGGCCCTCGAGAAGGTGGAATTTGTTATGAATTAAGGATTTTGTCGACAATAATAATTGCGGGGAAGATCACCATGATTCTTCAGCCTTCGCCGGAGATTACCTCTTACTTAAAATGTTGTTAGTGGGTTCGAGAACGACTAGATTGGAATACTTTGATAAGTTGGATACGCAGTCAGTATAGCAATTCAGACCGGCATATAATTGTTACCACTGTATTACGGTGAAATACAGTACCGATCCGTGTTGACAGATCCAATTTGTTCGCAAATACCAGTAGTTCCGTTGATCTCTTTATCAAGGAATTCAAACGGCCACCCAGTAGAGGACTAGAGGAGAAGGGGTGTCCTATTTTCGGACTGATCTTGTCTTTTTCTGTTGCAGTGACCCCCTTACTTCCCCTGGGAGTTATGTGGCGGGATGGGGTACTGTTCTCCTCCGAGTGGCAATCCACCTGGAGCTCTTGGAACTTACTCTGGCTTATTGGTTGGCAGCTGCAAGTGAAAAATGCCTCATTCTTCGCTAACACCGCGTGACCCTCCCAACCTGGTCTAGCTCTGTGTCACTCCCAACACGTCACCAATTCTATATATCTTGCTCAAGTATTCTCCCTGCAGTCGACCGTCACAAGTCTTCTGGCCTACTGTTTTACTTGTTAACCAGTCCTTCAGGGCAGCGACATGGCTAAAGCCAAAATCCTCCTAACTGGCGCCACTGGGTACATGTATGACTGACAGAATTTACCTCGTTTAGGGATTTTCGGCTGATATATAACATCCAGAGGCGGATGTGTCTTGAATACGCTTTTGAACTCCAAGCTTACTGCTGTGCAAGCGTCGGCGATCACCTGTATATTGAGAAGCGAAGAGAAAGCCAGCGAACTGGAGAAGCGTGGGGTGAACGTCTTTTTTTTCAAAGATTTGGATGAAACTGATATTCTTGCCGAAGCTGCGGGTGAAAATGATGGTGATTATTCTACCCCTGGATTTTGTGCGGTCCTGGACCCTAACACAGTACAGTCGTGATACACACTGCATCTGGCTTCCACACCCTTTCCGCCAGAGCCCTAATCTTGGGGCTTGCGCAGAGAAAGCAACGTACTGGCAGAAAAGTCTATTATATTCACGTAAGACAAGGAATAGCTTTTTCAGAGATACAAGTGCTGAAACTCGAGTATGAAAAGACCTCAGGTACATCAAACATAGCCGACCGTCCGATAACCCAGAACTACGTGGAATTAAATTACCCATTGTCAGACAAATCTGACATTTTCTCTTACCTAAAGAAAAGAGACCATGCCGTTCCCTATGCCCAGCGCTCTTCCGATATTGTCGCTACCGAAGTCGGCCTGGAGGTTGGCGTCAATACGTACATTCTTATGATGCCTACCATCTACGGAATCGACACCAACCCGTCGTTCGAATCTGGTCATACCCGGTCTCTGATCCGAGCTGCGCTGAAACTCGGCAAGGTCCCTGTTGTGGGAGAAGGAACCGGTGTCTGGAATCATGTCCATATCCAAGATGCCAGTCGGTGTTACGAAATGTTGTTAAATCGGATCCTCCTTGGGCAATGGGTCCCTAGTGGAAAAGAGGGGATCTTCTTTGTCGAGGCTGGAGAGCATACCCTGCGGGAGCTGTTTCAGAGGATTGCCGATGCCGGGGTTAAGCTTGGCGCATTGCAGACTCGTGATTTTGAGAGTCTCTCGCTTTCTGAGGCCGCAAGACATCTAGGGAACGGATGGAATTTGGTTACAGAGATTGCATGGGCATCCAAGTATGTATAACTGATTATTAAAATGCGTCACGCAAGCTGATTTACGGATAGTTCTCGGGTCACGGGAGAGAAGCTGAGAGAACTGGGCTGGAAACCTTCAAAGACGAGAGCCGATTTTGAGGACCATGCTGCTGCTGACTGGGAAGCTATGCTTTTGTCTGAAAAGAAACTGATGGATTCTTGTCCAGTATGATGTAGAAAGAATAAATAGATGACTTTGGCGACGAAGTGCAATATCCTGTCGTGGATTGAGCTGTCTGCGTTCGAATCCAAAATGCTCTAATTAAGACGCCAGTAGACATTAGCCGCCCAGACTTAGAACTCCAAGAACGTCGGCACGCTCAAAGTTCCGCATATCTATAGAATTGACATTGCTCAATCTCACTATTAAAGTACATTTCCAATATCTCTCTTAGTTCTCTCATATTTGCTGCTTATAAAATCGTAATCAACTGGCGAGCGACGAATTTCCTCTCCTCTCCTAAACCAACGCTCTTCAACGTGTGCTTTTACCAAAAATAATGGAGAAAAATGCCATTATCACAGGAAAACCGCATTCAAATGGTTACTTGAGCCTACAAAACTAAACAAGCCAAATCAACACTAAAGCATGCGGAGAGTCAATGTGTCTGAAGCTACTCTTCGTGCGCGTCTTAAAAGGAGGAAAACATGCGCGGAAACACGAGGCAGCAACAGTCGCTATTGTACAAAAGCCCCTCAATGCAGAAAAGCAAGGCTTTCCAATTCGATCAAGGTCCCTACATGGAATGGCACAAAGCTTATTTCGTGAACGACTGCAGGATCCAACCGCAACTTTAGGAGTGAATTGGGTCTGTGTACGCGATGTGCAAGACAAAAGGCATATCAGCGTGCAAAGCAGGAGGATCCGAGGGTTACAATACCCTGGCCCCAGACTGTACAGTCCGTTATTCAAGAACATGGCATACATGAAGATGATATCGGGAACCTCGACGAAACTGGCTTTGCAGTGGGATTCTGCTCTGCCTCTAAAGTTATTACTGCAGTTGGGTGCAGTGAGCATCCGCGCAAAGTTATTCCGGGCGATCTTGAATAGGTCATAATCATTGAAGCAATCCTTCAAGAATAGGAATCTCTCGGTTGCATATATGACGCGGCTTTCCATAGATTGCCTTCATCAGCTTTGTCCAGGAACTCTTTCCAATGCGACGCCTTTGTTTTCTCGATAGCCCTGTGCAGTCCCGCCGTTTTCTGCGCATTTCTTCGAAGAATGCCATATGGTAGGCGTGTCGGCGGTCGTAGGTAACGCAGCTATCTTGCCACCATCGTCGGATCTGGTTGACTTCAGTTTACTGTGGTTTTATCTCAGGTGTGAACCAGCGTTTGGTGTATAGGCATGGTCTCGTTGGTTCGATGTGTTTATCGATGGCTTTTTTGTGGATGTGATGAGTTTCTCTGTTATTTGTCGAGTTGCGCCCTCGTCGAAAATGTTGGCCACTGTGCCACGGACTCTGTGTGTCCATCAGATGCATCAATCTAGACGTTCAATCCTGTCCACCCTGACCTTTTTGTCTCTCGCCGCGTGAAAGAATTATATTGTAACAGCTCGTATCCAACGTTGAGTGAAAAATATTGCCTGGCATGATGCCAACGTAGTCTCAAACAGTTTGATCAACATTGTGGCTTGCTACTTTCACCAGGATATACCTTTTCACAATGGAAGCCCTGTTCAGTGTGAGCACATTCAAGTTGTGATGGGAGAACACTTAAGCTCACCTGGTCCTCCCAGTGCATTTATTTTATCCTAGAGCGTCAGAATATGACTCACTGTAAGGTGCTCCGATACTGTTTTATACACTGACCTCATCCCAAAAGACGGCCAGCTTTGTACCTGATTCCCCACATTTACGTCGGCAGAGCAGTATCTGCGGATTGCTACCAGGAGATATTTACAGGGAGAACTTTTTGATACTGCACTCTATGTTACAAGTACTGGAACATCCGTTTATGTCGCGTTTGTGGCGTACGAATAGGTACGTATTTTGACTTCCAATGGCCATTTGTAAAGATGCTGAACAAAGCAGGAAGCATGTTCTTCATGCTGATCTCTCCTCCTCGGAAGTCCCAATCACCAAAGCCCCTTTTATATATTCGAAGACCGAGGAGCTTGTTTGGAAATGGGAACAGTCAAAGCTCTGTGGTCGGAGTATCAACAGCACACTCTCTTCCACCATGATTCCACAAGGTCATCCACCAAACAAACCTGATAGCCAAGGCAAATTCGTATCCATCGAGAATGGCGTCGTTCATGTTTTTCCAAAGACACATCTCATGAATCTGGAGCCACATGACTATCAGATCGGTATTCTGGTGACAACGCATTCAGCACACTTGAAGATTATCCTTCTCGGTGCGAAGGGAAAAAAACAAACAAAACGTCTCAGGAGAAGCCTCTTTCGCCTCCAGCATTCCCTGCTGGAGAGAGGCCCTCTTTCTTCCGACCGCTGGTCAACCGAATTCTGGGTATCCGACTCGGTCGTTGTTGATTCAACATCCATTGAAGAGGCTAAATCAGTACTTAAGGCTGTGCGTCCAGAGAGCGCTGATGAGGCAGCGTATGTCTGTGTTGGTCTTCCAGTCACAATCTTCGGGCCATTATTCAATACGCTGGTTTCGAAATGGAACGCAAGTGCCGCTTCTTTCGAGTACTCCAACGGATTCATCTGGATATATTCCACAGTGGGCCCGACAAACTTTAAGATTGACGCGGACGAATCTTCCAGTCCAACCAAACACTCAATTTCTTCCATGCTGAAGCAAATGAACGGTAAATCCTAGCTTGTGAGGGCAAAGTTCACGTTCAGACTCGAAATGTCGAGCAGGGAGAAATCGGCTATTCTTGCCGAGCTCCTAGAAGTTTCTCATATACATGTCACATCTTCTCATAAGCCCATCACTCACTCTTAGGACAGACTGGGATGCTGCAAGGGCCTGAAGACTGGCAAATCTGCTGCTGTCATCTATCTTTTGTTTTCTTTTTATTTCTCTTGAATCAAGTATACGTTGTCCAAATGAGAGACCAAAGGAGACTTTCAAATCTTTTGACAAAGAACTATATTTACTAATATCTGTGCGATCTAACAATCACGCTCACATTAGGGCCACAGAATTGCTTATAATCGTCTTCAGCCAAACATTCATCGTAACACCTCTGGGAACTTCCAGACCAGGAATCAAATGCCAACATTTAGACTAAGCAAAAGCAAGCCTGATGGGACTGCAATACTGCGTAGCTAGAAGGGGTTATAGAGCACGAATTCTATGGTGATTGGTCCAGCCTTGTCAGATCGGCACAAGGTTAGAATCCTATTCGGAATACAGCTCGGAGGCGTGTTTGCTACAACACGACCGCCTTCCGTAGAAACAACGCTCTTTGCGTCTTCGACAAGTTCGGGTATGATTGCATCGATAGCCAGAATAACTTGGTCCATTGAAAAAGTCCTGGTGTGAAAACCCCATAGCGGAGGATCACAACAGTTTCCACGGTCGCCGTCGCTGACCACGGCTGCCTCCCTGATCCTCTTAACAATGACACACACTGTTTAGCCGGACAAGCGGCCATGCGACATCTGAAAATGCGTCTCAGCACGTTGACTGAGTTCAACAGTTGGAAACATGGGACAATTTAAAACGCATTATATTGCAGGCACACGATGAGCGCGGAATTGGGCTTCAACGTTGAACATAAACTTCACGAGACGCACCTTTTATGCTGTCCATGATTTTTTGACGGGGGCTCGATGATGATCATTTTCAATCATCAACCGGTCGTCTCAGCCCAAGGAGCCGTAGAAAAGGGCCTTCCCATCTTGCTCACCAGCAGCAATGATCAGCGCATCAACATCCCAAGCTGCTTTCGACCGCTCAAACAAAAGCTCTGGTCAGCGTTATTCAGACAACGTATGGAAAATACGATATAAACCTGCTGATGTCCAGTATTGTCTCGCCTAAAAGCATGTCCCGCCCTGTGTCAAAGTTTGCCGAATGGCTTGCCAGGGCTCCCGTCCAAGACAAGTTTGGTCTTTGTGGGCTCCTCGCTCTTGTATGCTGGATATCCTATAGCCTCGCACGCCGATTCAGCCATTTGCCTTTGAGGTTGCAACACGCAGTATCTTGGAGACGCTTCTTCCAGGCGCCAACGCCAGGCGCTCCAGTGGCTGGATATCCCATCATACTTGCAAGGGGGAGTACTTGCAGCCCTAGTGATTGCCAACATTATTGCAATCAGTCTTCATGCTCAGACCTGGGCGGACGTGCAGAAGCGAGCCGGATGCTTGGCGGTCACGCACCTTGTTCCCCTCTGCTCCGGGTTTAGCTTCAGCCTTCCGGCCCACGTCTACCGTGTCGAACGGGGCACGTTCCAGTGGGCCCATCGGTGGCTAGGCCGCATTTGCGTGCTGCATTGCCTTCTTCATGGGTCCGTCTTAGGCACAGTTGCTCGAAATACAAGCCTTGAAGCTCCCCTCGTCATCTCACTCCTGGTACGTGAAGCGGGCTAGAGAACGGCAGCCTTCCCATTTCCCCGCAGGATGCCTGACTAGAAGTGGCTAATATTGAACAGGCCGGATGCAGTCTCGTCTCGATCTTGCCTTGGACGCTCGCTGCGATTCTTCGACGGTGGCCGCAACTCGGCCTCAAGGTCCACCATGTGCTTGCTTTGATCGCCACCGGCGCCCTTTTCTACCATTTGATCGACCGGGTATCGTCCAACCGCTGGGTTTTACTAGGTGGTATTTGCGCCGGATTTGCCTGGAGTGCCGGGACATGTCTGCATACCATGTGGCTCCACAGATCGTGGCGCATCACCTCTCGACGGGCCCTCGCGCGGTCTTCCAACCGGCTCTTATAGCTTGATATTGCGGTTCCGGTGGAGTGGGTGGCTCAACCGGGGCAGTATGTACAGCTCTGGTTGCCAAGCCTGGGAGTAAGGTCCTGCTTGCAGCTTCCCGCATTCTACGTGGCTTCGGTAGGTACAGGGCAAAGCAACATAGGAGCACCGACAACTCATGTGTTACGCATAGTGGCCCGGCCTGGACCAGGCGTGACCCGAAGGATCGCACAAGCTGCGGATCGTGCGCACTCGACGATTCATTTTCCGGTGTGCGTGCTGGGTCCCTACGGGCACCCACCTCACCTAGGCCAGTACGGGACCGTCGTCTTCGTACTTGAAGATATTGGACTCTTCCGCGCGTTGCCGTTCATACGATATCTCGTTCAAGAAAGCCGAAGCCGGAGGAACACGGTGCGACGGCTAGAGGTCCTGTGGCAAGTTAGGCTGAAAAATTTCAGTAGGTGTCCT